CAGTCATTCACGTAAAGCAGTTCAACAACATCAATGATCATATGTGACACCAAATACCAACAACAACATCAATGATCATATGTGACATCAAATACCAACAACATCAATGATCATGCATGACACCAAATACCAACAACAACATCAATGATCATATGTGACACCAAACAACAACATCAATGATCATATGTGACACCAAACACCAACAACAACATGGTTGACCTGAACACTGACATGCATGTCTATCACTGATAGAGATTACAAGACAAAGATTTCATTAGAATTTTCTTCAATATCAATACAAAATATTGACCCTCAGAGATCAATTTGAATACAATCAGTAAACAAACACACAAGCAAACAAACAATCTATATATACACCCTGGGTATAGTCTGTCACGTGACTTCATGGATGACGTGTGCGCGAGTGATTCGCATTTTCTTTCGCTTGAGGTTTGTAATCACACTTTTTACATGTTTTAAGATTTTGTATCTCTGTGAAACTTGTCCCGTACCTACAATGTCTGAAGACGATCTAATTCACCAAATATCTCATCCAAGCGTGTCCCGGTTAAAGAGAAATTCGCACTTTTGTGTCTCGCAAAATGACGTGTGCGCGAGTAAATCGAATTTTACGAAGGATGGGTGCGCGAGTCTAAAATATTTTTATTCACTTGAGACAATTCTGCAAGCTAAGGCAGAATACAACTCACGTGACATTTGTTTTTGTCATCTTAAAGTAGTATGTTAAAGAATAGTTTGCTATTTTGTAGATGTTTCATGTATGGCACATACATGTCTACGTTTAATGACAATAAATGTTTTGAAATACCGCCAAAAATTTAATTCAATTTTTGGTTCAAATTTTAATTCACCTGCAATGCCGGACAGCCCTACAAGCTATTTCAAAACATTTATTGTCATTAAACGTAGACATGTATGTGCCATACATGAAACATCTACAAAATAGCAAACTATTCTTTAACTTCAATTAGATTGTCTTCAGACATTGATGGTACGGGACAAGTTTCACAGAGATACAAAATCTTAAAACATGTAAAAAGTGTGATTACAAACCTCAAGCGAAAGAAAATGCGAATCACTCGCGCACACGTCATCCATGAAGTCACGTGATAGACTATACCCAGGGTGATATATGATATTTTGAATCATTACCAGTACATTTAACACAAAACTTCCAAATAAGCTGCAAAAAGTATAACTAGTATAAGATCAAAAAAGTATGATTTATCAAAACATCAGCTGAATTGAACAGACTATTATCCAAGTATCATATACACATCGTCTGATGACAAAGTTGTCAGTTGCCATGTTTACTAAAGAATATGACTCAAAGATGACTCAGTGATAGAACATATAAAAATATATTATAAATCAACGTGACTACTCTTCGTCAAACCATTCCACATGAAACTCCAATTCCTAATATCAAGTACATCTTTCTGTGTTTGATAATAGATTTTCAAAAGAGAGCTTCATCTGCAAAAATTCACGACGAGACTGTAGTATACTAGTCACTGGAATGCATAGTGCAAATCGAGAGGCATAACAGGTTCAAATTCAAGTTGAAATTCAGGAAACCTTCATGCCCCCAAACCCCCCTCTAACCGCCCCCCTCCAACCCTAATAAGCTTGAACCCCCTCACATGCTCCAAACCCTGTATCTTGAAACAAAAGTAATCTTTCTGAAATAAATCAGCCTAGAATGCCTAGGATATGTTATCACTTCTATATCTGCAGTATCCAACTCAAGGAGGCATCAAGGTTTATCTGTTGAAATATGACATAGCAATGGTCGAAATGTCCATCTTATCTCTCTTATATAGGATAAGTTATATGAAGCTATCAATCCAAAACAATCCTGTAAATCTAAATACACTTGTATATATCTATATATATATGTGTTATACATGTAGAGCACTACATGATTGATTGAATTTTTCATTGTTTTGTTTGCTTGTTTATTTGTTTGGTTGTTTGATGAGACTAATATCACAATACAATAACCTGAAATATAACATTGTTTTCGAAGAAGCTTCAAAACCAGATTCATCATATCCATGAGAACATTCTAAAGTAATCGAAATCAAAGTTGGTTACCTAAAAAACTATTTTTCATACTAAAGTAAAAGACTGGAGGCCAATGTACTTAGAATAACTTGCTTGTTAAATGAGAGAACGACTGAATTTCACCCAACTACTTTTCAATGTTTTCACCCACTTGAGGTGAATTGGTCCAACCTCCCACTCCACAATACTGCTGACAACTTAACTGATCCAATTGCTAAAAGCCTCTATTTAACACTGACATCTCTTATATCATGTTTGTTGCATCTTTGAACATGTAATTAAGTATATTCGTCCGAGTTAACAAGGCATTAACATGCAAAATGTAAAAAAATGTCACTACCTGCCATTTGTTACAGATACCGACCGCTGAACTCCAATGAGTATTAACAATGTGTCACCACTTCTGGTGGTGACATAGTAATGAATTTTGAAAGTGGAACTTGAAAATGGTAAATTGGAAAGATTGGACGTCTCCCTCTCTTCTTCTTCTTCTTTGAAATGATGGAATTGCATAGATGAATAAACACAAGGAGCACACGCGTCTCGAACTGAATATCAAATATAGGTAACGAAAATTCAAATAATATCTCACTATTTTGGTATACCTTCATAAAGTAGGGGGCTGGATTCCTTCAGGAGACAATTGGACATATGTTAGCTATAGTCATATAGCAAAATCAGAAAAAACACTTCCATAATAGTATCAGACACATTTATCATAACATATACAGCTCATTATTATTCTGAGCTGTAAACAGAAACAATAGGCTATAATTTACTAAGTGTACATATTAGGGTCTAATCTAATTACACTATTGTAATAGCAACAATTACTCTGGCTTTCTTATGTTACACTCTCATCATTCAACCACATCTGGGGTCAATTAGTACAAATTCATCAGAAAGCCTGAAAATGATGTTCTTCAACATTCTAGTTCTTTTAATAGAGTAAACCACGATAGTTCAAGTTAAAAAAGTTTAAATAATATACATATATTAAAATGGTTTTGATTGCACTGTTATAACACTTTTTCACCATAATTACTTCAGAAAGGTTAGAAATATAATCTCCAGACAGATTCAATTATGTTAACATCAGCATCAATCAAGGAATTGCTATAACATCATTATTGTAGTCTGGTGAATATTGCCTACTGAGTTGTACACGTTACCTCTTTAAGAGTCTTGCACCAACCCCTTGTGACTCTAGACATACAACATAAGTACATTTCTCTATTTTCAAACTATTAATACCTCTTGGAAAGGAACTGAGAGAGGATGTGATCCATCTTTATTCCAAGGGTATTTCAGTGATGCTCGATCTTGAAGGATGTGACCTCTCATGATGAAGAATAGTCTATTTGCAAGCCTTTGTGACCCGCACCCCCCCCCCAAATAATGTCAAGTAATGGGAGGGGGGTCAAAGGGGCTTGTTGCTAGACTAGATGCAGAATACAGTTCCATTAAAATGTGAGATTTGCAGCACAGCCATGATTCATACTAGACTCACTAGCGAGACATATCAGATGTATAACCAATCTAACGTAATTTGAAATTCACCGTAAATCAATTTATGTCTAGACCAGCCGTTAAAATGATATTTCTTTGTACCTCCCAGTAGATATTTAGATGATATCTTTTGATTTATGAGTGCTATGATTCTATTCCAAAATGGATTACATCTGTATCAACTCAATATCAATGAGTGGATAAATACCATATCATGAGTACCATATCCATCTCAAAGTAATGTTTACAAACTTTGAAAGCATGCAAACTGCGAACCCCCATTGTGCATTTTAAATTACCTATTAATTATCAATATAATAAATACTGTATCAAAAGCAACTTTAACTTGTTACAGATTGCTGCTATGTGAACTTTACTCTTTTACTTACTTCACCTTCCTCAAAAGAACAAACTAAACGTGAGGGTTTCTTTACTAAATCTCTCAATGGGTTCTCTTGACATAATACCTCAATACAAATGAACATTATATACATAATGTATTTTATCGGGAGATTGTGGAGTCTAGCCTTTAATAGAGTTTTGGTTATTTGAATTTCCCGCTGGAACTTGAACACATGCCAGGAGCCAATCAATGAGTGGCACACGACGATCAGCCAATCAGAACGCAGTGTGGGTATTGAAAGACAAGATAGCGCCCATCCTGCTCAAAGACAAATTATTGAATTATCTCCTCAAGTTTTTTACACTTTTGTGACGAATAAAGTGTAGGTAAGCATGCAATTTTGTTTCGTTTTCTGTTCCATTTTCTAGTTGAGTTCTCGTTTCGATAGTTTGCCGTAGGTTTGATCCGTTTTAAGTCATTGCGGAGATAAGTGGGGATGGTTCAAGACATATCTAAGTGGCGTTTATGGAAGGAATCGCAATCAAAGTGCAATTAGCAAGGGAAGATCGGGTTTCCTCCAGGAATTGGAAAGAGCAAAAAAATTTTTTGTTTCGTAATTCCCGGGTGTTTTCGATGAACGGGTTTATAGGTTCTTTTCAGTTATTTGCCACGGGTATAAACGCGTCAAAGGAAAAAACGGGCCATATCAGACATTGAGGAGAGTTAATATGAGATGGAGGGTCAAACATAGACGTTTTTAGGGCAATATTGATGGTTGTTTGTGGTCATTCCACAGGCACGCTCTTGACACGTGAGTGAAGCGTGATTTCGGATCGGTCATTGGCCAATGAGGAGCCCTCGGGTTTTCTCGGCATTTTTCGGGATTACCCGGATTGCAAGATGGCGGCGCCCATGAAAACTTTTTATGAATGTAATTTTTGACGAGTTTTAAAGTCTATGTTACGAAATTGATTAATTTTTATGCATTATGAATAAGAATGCGAGCGTTCTGGTTTGGACTATATTGGACAAAGTTTCTCAACGCCATTTATTTAAAGCATGGGCCTAAAAGTATTATTTTTCTTCTTCGTGTTGGTTTTCAAATGGAAATCTTTTTGCAGTGAGTGAATGAGTGGTCGACTATGAGTCTCCCATGGGTGCTCCTGTTCGGGCACAGCCTGATAAACAGGATTTTAGAACCAGGTGAGGATTTCTCTGAGGAGTTCAGGAATAAGTGTCCCCCATCTTTGGATTTGAGTGTAGATCAGTGTCATCTCTCTTATGAAGGGGTGCCAGGCGGTACTTTGAAGAAACTAGATGAGAGGGATTTGTGGAAGTCCATGAACAATTTCGACGTAGTAGTGGCACAAATTGCAGGGAATGATGTTAAACATATCGTGATGTCAAATCTGGAGATACAGGGAATATGCATGAAGACCTTGAATATGGTTCAGAGGCTACTTCAATATGTATCGGTGGTGGTCTTATGCAAATTGTTCTACAGGAAAGCGTCTTTATCAAGGTCATCTAGGATCAGATGTACTGACCATCAGAGAAATTACAATGCTAATGTGGACAAAATCAATGCAAACTTATCATACGAATTAAAGAATGAAACAAATATATACTTGTGGAGGACTAAGGGCCAGATCTTGAATGGGTTGTCCATGCTAGGAGTTGATGGGACCCATTTCAATGAGGACGGTCACTACAAATATTGGCGCTCGTTGAGAGGAGCTGTTTTACATGGCTTAGCAAGTAAGTGTTCATGGGCACGCTTACATTTTAATGCTGTTCACAAATGAATATTTGTAAATATAGTTATATACATGTGTGGAAAGTTCAATTTTCGCTCGTGAGCAATTTGTATACTTTAGCAGAGTATAATGGGATGGCACGTTTTTGATTATACTTGAGTTTTGCAAAAGTCGCTTGTTATTTTTTCCATAGGCACGCTTGCTAATATCGTTATACCCGCAGGTATTTTTGGCAAATGTACAATTATAATTCCAAACTCGCTTGTTGAATATTAAGCACGCTTGTTAAAGCCCAATGCACGCTTTTTGAGCTCTTATGCACGCTGTTGAACGCTTATGCACGCTTTGTGACTTTATTTTGCTGTTGTTGTTTTTTCCGCAGGCACGCTTGCTATATAGTTGAACCCGCAGGTAGTTTTGGCAAATGTACAACTAAACTTCTCAACACGCTTGTTGAGCCTTAATGAACACTTTTTGAGCTCTTATGCCCTCTGTTGAACGCTTATGCACGCTTTGTGATTTTATTTTGTCATGATCACTTTATGCACGCTTGCAAGAATTTTATACCCGCAGGTATGTATTGAAGATGTAAGATAAATTAAATATTTTCCACACGCTTGTTGAAAAATTTTGCACGCTAGTTTTTGGTTGCATACGCTCAATGCATTTTATTGCTTAATGTCTTGGCCCAAATAAGCACGTTTATTAAGACTGTATACCTGCAGGTAGATTATAGGTATGTTGTAGTCTTTTTAACTTCTATACACACTTGGAATGTGAATACACAGGTCTAATGGGTGATGTTAATAATACTACTTCTAAGTTGATATATTTTGTACTGGTTTTACTAAAGATATATTTACACGCTTGCACAATGTTGTTTTTCAACTTAGTTCTTAAAGATCCTGCTTAAGGTTTTGGGTTGTTTTACATGCCTGGTACATCATTTTCAATCAATGTTTCCTGTTTTTGGGTGATCTTAGTCTTTGTGGATATCGATTGGGAAGGTGTCTGACCTGGAAAGATTGTATCTCCCTTACATTTATATGTACTATAGATAGATTTTCAGCCGGGCATGGTTTTTATAATCTTCACTGCAACAACATTTTGGTGTTAACCTTATTAAACACACCCAGTGTATTTTTTAAGAATGTATTAGTAACACCTTACTTGAATTTAAATATCACGTAATGAGTTACTAAAACATTTTGTGCTGGCAGGGCTTCAATCCTCTGCTCGGGAGTCAAATGTTTACGCACTGGGTGTGAAATTATTGTCGTAAGACAGTAATAATCGTATGTTTTTGCAGTGTTAGATGGCGCAACAGCCGGGAGGGAACCCCCAGCTGTTAAATCAGGTAGGGGACAACGTGGCTCAAGCAGCCCAGCAGTTACCCCAACAGGGTCAAATGGCGGGCCAACAAGCAGTGATGCCAAATCAAAATGCAGCGAATGGGGGCCAAGCACAACCCCAGGTTCCTATTGCAGGACACCAACAAAATCCAAACATGGGCCAACAATTGGGCCCAGGCCAAGGTCCACTCCAAAATCCAGTGATAGGCCAAGGTCAGGCCGGGAATATCCAAATACCAAATCCCGGTATGGGTCAGGTTTTGATGCCAAATCCAGGCATGAATCAGGGTCAACCAGGAAACGGAATAGGCCAGGGAGTGCTGCCAAACCCAGGCATCAATCCGGGGCAACCAGGAAATCAACAGTTTCAAAACCCCGGATTGGACCAGGGCTACAATCAACAACCCGGTATGAATCAGGGCTACAACCAGAATCAAATGATAGGCCAAGGCTACAACCACAACCCCGGTATGGGCCAGGGCAACAACCAAAACCCCGGTATGGTCCAGGGCAACAACCAAAACCCCGGTATGGTCCAGGGCCAAAACCCCGGTATGGTCCAGGGTTACAACCAGAATCCCGGTATGATCCAGGGCAACAACCAAAACCCCGGTATGGTCCAGGGTTATAACCAAAATCCCGGTATGGTCCAGGGTTTGAACCAAAACCCAGGTATGAATCAGGGTTTCAACCAGAATCCAGGGATAGGCCAAGGATACAACCAAAACCCAGGTATGGTCCAGGGCTACAACCAAAACCCCGGTATGGTCCAGGGCTACAACCAGATGCAAGGAATCAATCCTCAGGCCACAGGCCCTTGGAGACCAGATCAAATAGGACAGTTCGCCACTCAAGGTAATACCAATACATTAATGTTCACAGGAAATCAACTTGACACCCATGTTTCAGACAGTTTGCGTCAAAAGATTGTAAAGAATGAATATGTCGATTTGAAAACGCTATTAGTGAAAACAGATTCAAATCAAGAATTCAAATATGTGACGGAAAAAGAGGATGGGGAAGAAAGGTTAATTCTCAAGCCTATTGAAACAAAATCTAAAATTGTGTCGATTAGTGACTGGCAATCAGCTTTCTTTGTCTTTATGACGGTGTATATCCGGCAACATCCAAATGAAGCGATCAATTTGGTTAAATACGCGAGCCATATTCTTTCCTTGAGCAAAACCCCAAATGCTAATTGGCAACAATACGATGAAGATTTCAGAAGAAACAAATTACTGGCAGGGCTCAGGTGGGAAGTTTTAAATCATGAATTGTTGTTAGCTGCCACAGTTATTAAACCAAGTCACCCTCAACAGTCAAAAGGTTTTCAAAAGAATATGTCTCAGAAATCAGGGAAAAATTCTTTTCGTGAATCACCCATATGCTTCCGCTGGAATGATGGCGAATTTTGCCAATTTTCCTCATGTAAATACAGACACGTCTGTAAATTCTGCCAGGAAAAACATAGAGCTACTGATTGCAAACAAGGACGATCGCAAAAGTCCAAGCTTTTCAACCAAAATAACAAAAACTCCAGTAGATTTGTTAAAAAATCCAAAGAATCCCATTCATAGTTTGATTGCAGAAAATAAGGACGCAAGAAAAGGAAAGTTAGAGTCTCCTCTCCCTACCCCAGTTCAACCAAATGTTTTGCTTGAATTTTTAAATGGTTATGATTCAGAAATAAAAGATTATCTTGTTGAAGGATTCACAGTGGGTTTCAAGGTTCCTTATTTTGGAAATTTGCCCAAATCTACATTACGAAATTTACCCTCTGCCTATGAATATCCTGAAGAATTGTTAGAAAAAGTACAAAAAGAAGTTATTCTAGGTAGAATTTCGGGTCCATTCTCGGAAAAGCAATTCAAACATTGTGTAGTCTCTCCAACAGGGGTGGTTCCTAAAAGTACTCCGGGGAAATTTAGAAGAATCCACCACTTGTCTCATCCAAAAGGATTTTCAGTAAATGACGGGATATCTGAAGAATTTTCCACAGTCCAATATCAAACAATATATCAGGCGATAGATAAGCTATTAAGAGTTGGATCGGGTGCATATATGGCTAAACTTGATATAGAATCAGCATACCGCATAGGTTACTCGTTTTGATGGCTTTTTATATGCCCCAACTAATTAATAACATTGTTAACCACTACAGTGATTAATTTACAGGTCAAGAAAGTGTAAGTATATTGCTTTGGAATAAACCAAAGGATATAAGGTTAGACTCCCATTTCCCATAAACTTTTTCTAATTGTGGTTACAGTTATTAATTACGTAGCAATGTCTATAAGATAAATGAACATTATATACATAATGTATTTTATCGGGAGATTGTGGAGTCTAGCCTTTAATAGAGTTTTGGTTATTTGAATTTCCCGCTGGAACTTGAACACATGCCAGGAGCCAATCAATGAGTGGCACACGACGATTAGCCAATCAGAACGCAGTGTGGGTATTGAAAGACAAGATAGCGCCCATCCTGCTCGTAGACAAATTATTGAATTATCTCCTCAAGTTTTTTACACTTTTGTGACGAATAAAGTGTAGGTAAGCATGCAATTTTGTTTCGTCCCTCCACCGTCCCCTATCAACCACCGTTTTTTCTGTTTGGGGCTTTTTATATGCCCCAACTAATTAATAACATTGTTAACCACTACAGTGATTAATTTACAGGTCAAGAAAGTGTAAGTATATTGCTTTGGAATAAACCAAAGGATATAAGGTTAGACTCCCATTTCCCATAAACTTTTTCTAATTGTGGTTACAGTTATTAATTACGTAGCAATGTCTATAAGATAAATAATAATAATATTCATAACTTAAATTAAAACTTGCAATCTAAAAAAAAAATTTCACACTGTTCAGTATGAATTGATTTTTGTTGGCTGTAGCATTCCCATTTAGTTTTGAAGGTCGGCTGGTATTGTATCTTTTATTAATACAGGTCACATATCAAGTGAAATATATTTAGCCATACACAACTTTAATCAAAATTAAAAATAGTCTGATGTACCTAAGTCATGTTCCTCTGATACCCTATATGTGTATCAAGATACCCTCATTATTAGACTACACTGGGATAGCGTTAGCATTATGGCAACCATGGGCTTTCAACTAAGTGCTGAGAATACAAGAACACAACTGAAAATCTAAAATCCATTCACTGCACTCAGTTGCATCTTGGCTACACTAAGGAATCTTATAGAAAGCCAAGACAATGAAGGTCAAGTATGGTACTATCAGGAGAGAATATTGAAAAATCATACAAATTGGGATAATTGACCAAATTTCTAGTTTAGGTAAAACTAGGTAAAATGAGAATTTTGCACGAAAAGACAGCACAAAAACATTATCTTTCTCTCCAATCATATAAAAACAAGGCACAGGACGTGAACGAGATCACACCATCAAATAGGCAGACACTATGAACCAGGAAAACTGTTCTCCTATTATGTTTACAAATTTCAAGAACAAGAAAACAAGATGGCCGCCCAAAAGTTAATCAGCTCTAGTACTTGATATCCTCTATCATTTGTGTAAATTTGAAGGAAATCCGATGAGCGGATTTTCTGAAATGGCGATGACAAAATTTTTCGAAAAACCTTCAAAATGGCTGCCAGAAAACAAGATGGTCACCCAAAAGTTAATCAGCTCTAGTACTTCATATGCTCTATCATCTCTGTGAATTTGGAGAAAATCTGATGAGCAGTTTTCCTTAAACGGCGATGACAAAAAGCGGGACGATCACGATCACGACCACGATCACGACCACGACTATATCCCACCGATGGTGTGATAACAAGACAATGAACTAACTCAACCAAAATCAGTATTTACCCATATGTGAAGCTAAACTTACTCAGCAACCTTTAAAAAGTACTGAGATAAAAATATCAAATCCAAGCATTCTAAATATCACCAACACAAATAAAACAGATTGTTTGGGAATAAACTGGGGAGTGTTCATATATTGTTCTATTTATAATAAATCTCCTAAAAACATTTCTTAAGACAACTACATATGTAATACAACTACTTTGACAGCATGATTTGTAGTCTGTATGGAGATATCTGCAAGGGAGACCCTTTTTTAGGTAACCTATACCCATGAACCCTGCCAACAAGTGGTGAACAACCGAACACAAACAATTCTTTACCATTGAGCTATTAAGCACCTGATGTAGGGTTGCCATGGTGATCACAGTATGATTGTGTGAATACCATGGTAACTGACAGCATTGTGAATACATTTTTGTATACAAGTACACTTTTCAGATAATGCCTGCCATGGTATGCTTTGCTGTGCAATATTGTAGTTCTTTGAAGATCCATTCCTCTTAAATTTCTATTTTTAAATTTTCATTGATGTACATGTTCAATCTGATTCATTCATAAAAACTCTGCAAAGCAAAACCTCCAACTTAATTCATGTATTACTGTTATTTCAGATTTCACAAAGTATTGCTTGAAAGTTCTGCATTTTTGCCATTGTATTTTTGAAAGAGCTCTTGATGCAATATGTTTCTGACAGAATGGCTATCAAATTGCATCAACTATGTAAAAAAGTTATTTTGACCTTGTTAACATTTAGAACATTTCAATTTCTTTCTGTATATATCCCATCCATCATCATTTTTCAAATTATACACAGGGGTAGATCTGGAATTTCACAAGTAGGGGCTAAAAATATTTTTGAAAAGAACTAAGGCCGTTTTTGAAAATTAAGGTCTATATTTGTTTTTCTCAAACATTATATTTGGCTTATTTTGGAGAATAAGGCCCAAACTAATTTTAAACCAAAATTGGAAAACATGGACTCTGGGCCCTGTTCTCTATGTGATAGAGAAATGTTTGACTGATGAAGTAAAATTTAGTATAACATGACCTTCATTTCTGGTTTATGGTCTGTATGGTATGTTATGGTACAGTATGACCTAATAATATATACGCAAAGAGCCACTGTCTGTTAAGGAAGCTATATTTGATCAAGGTGAACATCTCACAAACATATTCAAGGTTACTGTGGCAATCGACTATGAAGCCTGTTTCTTAGTATACTCTTTGCAAGAGATTCTCTTCACAATTTTAAAAGAAAGATTAATCTACATAATACAGAGAGTAATGTTATACTTCTACTTATGGTAAATTTTCAACAAATACCACTAAAGTGTGGCTATTAATTTTGTTGTTCAAAAAGAGAAGATCTCATTTTTATAATTTTGATCTAGTGCTTTGGATACCTCGATCTTACAGGGTTCTCACCAGGAAAGGATCTAGTGCACCCGCCATTATGATCTCCCCATGAACAAAATGAATCATTTTAGGTGTAACATAAAGAATACAATGTCACATAATACTGTGGAAAATATTTAAGCGTTTGGACCCACATGGGCTGAGGTTGAGGTCATTAAGTTCAGCAAGGGTGTATTGACTTGCCATTGGATGTGCTCCATTGACTTAACATGTGGATATCATCAGATTCCAATGGAGGCC